TGCATCTCTCTGCATGGCTCAGACAGTGAAGTGATACCATGCCTTTTTCCAGCCGGAAAGTACTTCAACCAACATTGCGTTACAAGGCAGATAGTGACTAGGCATGCTTAGGATATGTCCCTATCATCTCAGTTGGAGAAGGTTTACAACCGCATCGACTGATTTCCCTCTTCTCCCAAAAACTCTACACCTGAGTTCTGTATTAATGTGTTGGCACCACGACAAAAGATCTATATAAGGAAGGCAGCAATGACCAAGCACATGGAGCCTTCTACTTTTATATGCTTTAATGACAGTGTTTCACAGCCATACATTAGAAAATAGTGAGCTGAAACACAGTACAGTTGACTTTTAATAGACAGTCGGGTGTCATGACAGTGCTAAAGAAGGCATGCATTGGCGAAAGCCGATTGAAACTTCTGCATCCTTGCAGAGATTTCGTCGACCACTGGTCCACAAGGGCTGGTCCGACACTCTCTTTTATCAGCCACAGCACCTCTTAAGACCATTTCCAGGGCAACAATTCGCATTTAGGTAGAGAGAAATGCATCGAACACATCCCCGAATTGCCACTCAAGGTGTCCAGAAGACTATTTTATTAGCGTCTTCTTCTAGCGGGACTATGTTATATGCATATTCTGGGTCTATCAAGGAGTTTTCTGTGATGTGATCGATCCCTGTATACTCATATGTCTATAGGAAGATCTCTATAAGGACGCCTATGATAAAATTGAATACTATTGGAGAGAGTGGGTATCCTTGATGGGCACCACTCGATGTACACAGCTCACCTGATAACTTATTATAGGTTCCGACACGCCCATGGGGGTTTGAGTAGATAGCCTTCAAAAGAGCGACTTACTTACTCTGTACCCCTTACAGTAGGGGCAGCGTAAGATTAAACGATCCAAAATCTTTAGAAGATTAACAGACATTTTTGGTTATAAAGTGAATGTTTAACAAATGGGGAAAGTGAAGGCATCTTTCGCAACTTCTCATCCTTAAAAGTAAGTGAAATTGCACAAATAGTTAATGTTATCTCTAAGCCGCACAGAAACTGATTGTGTACGCGAACTTTACATTCATGCAGCAGTGACTAATAGTGTAGTCTCCTACCTCAATGTTGACTGAATTCTACTTATATAGTTTGTCATGCAGGCTCTATATTAAGCGCCTGGATGGGGTAATAACATGCATATTTATAGGTTATTCAGGAAGAAAAATGCATACGAGGAATCCAGAGTATTTCAGGCCGTTTTTCTTAATTAGATCACTTGAGTGGGTATTTCCCATCCATAACTTATCCTGGATTTAAATTACCGATAGAATGCGAGTTTTTCCAGGTATACTCCAATATTTATACAAATCTGAATAAATATATATTTCAGGTATTTCGCTGCACCTCATCGAGCTGATTATTGGGTTGACTTATAAATAAGTACTCGAATGGTAAATCATCTCATCGTTGTATTCCACTGGTAAGCTAGTCATTGATTACATAGTTAGTCGTTTGCTAGGCAACAAGCAACTCAGTGTCAGGTGATACATTTTGTTGTTATTTTCTGAACTATCAAAATGAAAACAGAATATGAACTACGCTTATCTAGTAATTTTCACCTGCACATTCTTATTTAACTGTTTGTATTTCATTGATTACTGCAGTATTGATTGTACCCTTTTAGATGGTAATGAAAATTTATTTAGGTTTTATGTGACAGTGATGAACAAAGAGGTGAAAAGGGTCGCATAGATGAATAAAAGGTGTTGTGAAATCAAACTTATCCGTCCTATGCATTGAAGGTGATTTATTCTCGAGTGAAATAAAGTAGTAAATTAAAACTCTCGAACGATTTAGACTGACTTTTTTTGTTACACAGCATTCACAAGGTAATAATCTATTCTTTAGACTTGTGTGTTGTTAAGTAAAGCTGTTCCTTTTTAATAAGTTACTCTTTTAGGGTGATGAAATATGTATTAGAATGAAGGCTGCTTACTTCCTTAAACGGGTCATGGTGATTTTTTAGTCGAAGTATCTTAGACACCATCATTATAGGCGAAATAGATCTCTACCTAAGTAAATATGATTACTGATGAACCTCAGTGCCCCTTCCGCTTGGTACATAGCTACTGACTGAATCAATCTCATTCTAGTTTGCACACAGTTCTAATATCATGTAAGTAATCTTTCCAGATTTATTGTTGAAAACTGCTTTCTGGTTTAAGAACTTATGTAAGGATGTAATGCATGAGTATCTATAAGTATGATTCCAGTTAAGATTTTCCCCGAGTCAACCATAATCAAACGAATTCAATTAAAATTGGGTTCTAATTACTGGAAAGTTGTTTTTATTTCACTCAGCCAAAATTCAGCGGGTGATATGAACCTCAGTTTAGCATTTGTACTTAGCCCGTATTTCAAGTATTCAACTGCCTATTTTCTAATTTTCTTCAGCAGACCTACCTGGTTTATTCTTCAATCTGAAAAAAGCCTAACTTACTCCACTTTAGTAAGCTGTTTTTCGCGAACGCGTGGGCACAAGCGTTCTTATTTGTGAAGTTCTCGACATCACTCTTGACGTCATCCTCATTGGACCTTCGTAGGAAAGTGTTGGATTTTCGGAGAACCGGAAAGTGTATTCTTTTCTTTTAGACATGCTTTCTAAAATCGTGAACATTACCAATTTATATATCTTCAAATAATGAAGCAAACCTATTTGATCATAGGGAAATATATAAGACGGTCTCAGCGAAGAAAATTGTTTCTTTTCGACGAAATCATTCTGTAAGCTATACATTTGTGAATATATAGTAGAAAAGGTAGAACACTACATACGAATTCCCGGTCAAAGGTCAATTTAAATTACGTGACAAAATAAAGTTGCGTAATCTCTAGGTGGATCATCAGAGAAGTATCTAGAGTGATCACTTTTCTGTGATGATCATTGAGAAGAAGAAGGCTGTACATTCTTATTTTGAACGTATAATGATGGTTTGAACTTTTGAATGGTTAGTACTTTGGCTATGCCCAAACGTCTTAACCCCACTCCTTTCGAACTGCTTGGTTGCACTTTGTACATAATTTTGAAGGACTTATCAAGAGGAGCGAAATTTCCTGAGTTTAATACTAAGTGTTCTGTTACAGGGCTGAAGATGTGTTTCCGTTCTTTCCTTGTCAGCCAGGTTGGGTAGTGTCAGGAGAACCGACCACTCTAGATAATTCTCAAACGACGTAACTTTTTTTATTTCGTAATCATTTTGTTCATTTCTCCAACTTAAACACCTATAAACAGTAAGTAATTTATCTTTATCAGGCAATTTATATTGACCGTTGACCGAAATATACTCTAGAGTATTCTATCCTTTCTACTATATATTAATAAATTTACAGCTAAGAGAATTATTTCGTTGAAAATGAAAATTCTTCTTCCTTGCAATCATCTTACGTATTTTATTTACTAATCAAGAAGTAAGTTGTGTGCAAGTAACAGTGATTTAGTCTGGAGGTTTTGGAAGCTCATTAGTCTTAAGGTGGTATTCATCATGAACTGGCTGTTCAGTATTTTGAGGTTTTCATTGGTTCTCTAACTGATATCAGCCCGTGATTTAGTTATCAAAGCTGATAGATGGTGAACATGTTATCCACCTGTTAATTTTGTAATAGTTCTCTATATTTGATCGCTTTCAAATAATTTGAATTGAAGAGTATAGTGATACCACTGTGTTTTTTATTCTCTCAATGTATTACTATAACAAATCTAAAAATATTATCTTTCAGAGTATTTTGATTGCACCTAGATTTTTCATCAATAATACGTCATCGTGTTGTTTGCATAAAAAAAGTCCATTTCAGGAGAAATAATTAAACTGGAGTCTATTTTGAAAGCGATAGTGTTCAGTAAGGCTGACCATGAACTAGAATACAAATTCACTTGCAGAAGAAAACGAAAATTATTTAGAAGGGGACTGTTTTAAAAGCTGTTGTTTAACCATATGAGTTGAAATGTTTGGTTTATGTCATTTTTTATTGGAGAAAACTATAGTTATTTTCTGCCAGGGTGCATAATTGATATTGGATATCTTTTATTGGATCTGCGGTTCATACAGTGGTAGAAATACTTAACAAGACTAGTTAACCAACTCAAAAAATATACTGCAACAACTTTATAGTTGCCTATGCATTAAAGTACAGGAGACAGCCAATTTTGCTGTTAGATGGATAAAGACGAAACCTTATTTTACAAAGTATAGGCTACTATTCACTTTGTAACACAGAAATCAAGTCTTTCAAAACCTGTTTAAACTTATTTACTAGGTTGATTTTTCTGAAAAACACACAGTTTAACCCAGAAGGTTACAGAGTTATAAGCAATTGTCACGAAGCCTTGAGGTATTTTGTCATGCCTGTTGAATTTAGTGAACTTAACAAGTACGTTCCCTTTGTCAAATGTATTTTGGGATTGTTCAGAAATATGATTGGAAATGGCATCTATAGTTGATTCTGTGTAGGATAACTCTACTTCTTCTTTGAAACGATCAACTATTGAACCTAGAATGATATCTAACGTGTTTGATACTAAACTAATAGAAGCAGGAAATATGAACCCCTTGATTCTGACCAAGTGGCTTGGTTGTATTTTGATGACCAGGAAAGCTGAAGACCCTGGTGGGGTCATGGGTGCGCACTGGTGAGGAGTCCCACACTATGACGGAACAGCTATTCAATGCTCCCAGGTTTCAATGTCCATGATAAATATCAACCTGAAACCAACAAACAGGGGAAATTAAATTTTGTTGTCACTCAGGAATTAGACAACATTTGCATTCAGTGATCGATGGACTCCATCTTAATTACCAACCAGTAACTTTTGGGGTAGTGAAAACGAAATAAACAGATGGTTTTCCGTCTAGATATTGTAAGTTCCAGTTAAGTGGTTTGATTTCCTCTTGTCAAATAAAAATGATGGAATAGTGAAAGGTAAAGTGCGAAAAAAACAACTTACATTTTTCCGACATTTTTTCATATGAACCTTGATAGTTTGTCAATAAACTTGGGACATGATGTTCATAACTTGCTCCAAATGGGTTATCTAAAAATGAATTCCTATTGGTATGAATTACCATACGAATAATGGTCAAATAGTTATCAATATCGTTAGCCGAAATAAACAAATGAGCTATTTGAGAACAATATGTATGATATGAAAATTTTGCTAGTGTAGTCAGCTGATTTGTTGAATGTATCCACTGAAAATCATTAAAAGTTTGTAAATATTCACACCTGGAATAACATAAATTCACTGATAAATACACAAAGTATTCGATTCTTTTAATAGTGTTTGATTTAGAAATTTTCTGTTGACAGGTAAACTTCATTCATTGATATAACAAAACATTATTTAATTAGGTGTTTGTTTAATATTCTATGCAACTCATAAAGGTGCTGGAGAAATTTCTTAGTGACCTGGGAAAAATAAAAAAACACTTCTATGCATAGAGTAGCTAATCAGGGAAACAGTTCATTGTCTTAACGATGAATATATGCCCGACAAGCAAAGTTAACCAACCGGAATACCTATAACCAAGATCCGTGACTTATCTTTAGTCAGGTCACATCAAATGACCGTTTCTTATTGTCTAGGTGACGGATAAATTGAGGTGCTATCCATAGGACAGTTTATAATCTAGTGGTAACAATAAGCTATATGACCTGAAGTAGAAATATCTTAAAAATATTGAGGGAGAATAATCATTACTTCTAATGAGCCACTAATGTATCATGAGTACTCAGAGAATCTGTGCTTGCTAAACCGAAGAAACCGTATTTCTTGACACATGTGCTTGAAAATGTCTATCATTTCCTTTGGTTTTTAGCTTCACACATAGTCAACCCAACCTTGAACATATGTTTTAATCAATGTATCTTATTTCCATGCATACGAGGAAAGTCTTATATTTGTTGTGGAAACCAGATGAGTAAGTAAGTAAATTTCCTCCACGTGTATGCAGTAAGCAACTGAGAAGTAATCTCTTTTGATGTCTACTGGGAATTTTAGGTGATAGTCGCCACATTTCAAGTAAATTGTAGAGGACAATCAAACTTTTCACCTGTTGCAGGACTCAAGTTCCGTCCTTTTTGGGATTTGTCACAAAGTCACCTAGATGAATAAAACATTATGACTATCCATCAGTATTAAGGCATCTGCATAAAAGACTCGTCAGCTAGTGCTACATGCCTTTTCAGAGAGTGGTTATTTTCACTATGGCTTGTACCCAGAATCATTCACTTCAAACGTTAAAAAGCTGCCTGTTTAGCCACTGAGTAACGGTATAGAATAGTCTATGATGCTATAGTTTGGGAACCACCATCGCAGAATGAGCCGAACTGATCGGCCACTACTAGCAAATGGGCTTTTGTACGGATGCCTGGATATTGCCGGTGTTTTAAAATTCAACATTAATGATGGAGTGCTTATGATTACTCACTAGGCTAGCGGATAACGATTAGATGTTTGAAGCTATGGGTACTGGGCTCAGTTGTCATTAGGAATCAAATCGCTCACTGGGGTGGAGGTGCATCAAGTTGATGAGTCCCAAGTAGGACGAAACGCACGTCTTGGAATCCACTGCTAGTCGCTAAGTAGACTATAATTAAAGTTCTGGTCTTTTTGCATCATACTTTCAACATTTTGCCACAAAGAGTACCATGATTACCTCTGATTTGTCGATTCAGGAATAAATGGACAATGAATTATTAAAAGTAAATGAATCAACATTACAGTCGTGGGTGGATGGTGACGGCTTTATTTGATATCCGTATTTGACATTAAAGGATTTACTCAGTGCCAAATGGAAAGAAATTGAGTGAAAACGATCAACAACTTGTCCTAAAGTGATTTTTACGGAATACATTTACCTGAAATACTTCAAATTGAGATGAAGTGAAGCTCGTTACCATTTAAAGCTCACTTATTTTCACACTTCACCATAAGCTACTTGTAAGAAAGATTTTGTTACTTGAAGTTACTAGGAAGCTTGTAGTGTACCCCTCGACTACAGAGATCAGTAACCTTGACGTGATGACTTAAATTTATACCGATCTCCCATGAGTTCACTTCTTATTTGTCTGTGAATGAAACGGACTAATTGGACCTCACTCTCAAAAATCAAGTTAATTTTAACAGCGGACTGCTTGCTGCTGCTATACTGTAATCTAGGACTCAGTACCTAGTGTAACAGATAGTATTCCTTAAATACTACTAACCATACTTTGGATACAATATACTTTTTGGCCTGAAGGCGTAGTCTGACTTTTTGAATCAAGATATCCTTTTAAGTAACTAACTGTAAAGAGAATTCCATTGAGGCATGTTTTGTTGTTATATATCCTCTGCCTAAACTCACATCATTGCATTCAGGCTTTTGGATAGTTGTTACCTACGATGATAACAACTAGTGGTATTTTCCGACAATGTCTTGCATTAACATTTTCGTGCATCGTTGTCACAAAAATATTGGTCAAGATGACAGCAGTTGCTTGAAATTTCACAAACTAGTCTTGTATTCGAAAAACCTGTAGTCAACGTAGCGTATGCAGATGACATTGTCACGTTAGGCTGAAGAAATGCAAGTCTCTTTGAAGGTCTTGGCTGGAAATCTGGGTATGTTTGGCTAAAATGGCTGTGGACCGACTTCTCACTTAAGAATAGAGAATTAAATGGAGAAATACATCAACTTTTTCGTCAATTTGGGAAGCTGAGTCAGCCGTGACAAATACTTTACCAAAGAGCTCACAGTATAAATATAGCAAACTAGTTTGAGATTCGTTAACTTGCGCTTTCTCTAGTACTAGTCGCTTATGCCATTACAAATTAATAACGGTGAGATTGTTCACTCTGTTCTACAGAAAGGCTGTGAGTTATAAACATTGAAGGTGAAAGGTGTGAAGAGAGAAGAGGTTTTTGTTTATAAAATGTCTCCGTAGCTTTGCTCATATGTGGTGGATTAACAGTGAGTAATATGAAGGTTGAATGCAAAGTATTAGGCAAAGACGGCAAGTCAACTTATGAAGTTACTTAGCAGGCCGAGCTACTGAAGAGTCTGACTGACAGTTTTGAAGCAAGTACGATTAGTTGAGAAGCAAGATAGAGAAGCAGAATTGGTAAATTCGCTAATGATTTATTGTAGATATGCAAGGACATGTAGGTCACTTGACAGTAATCTTTTAGGTGATCAGTGTATAAAGATCCCCAATGATATGACTAGAGAGCGATCACATTATGGAACATGTGTTCACTTTTTATCAGATTCAAAGCCTTGAACATTTCATCAGTTTGCATTTATTTGTTTTCCGTCTTCGTATTTCCTTCCTCCACTTCCTCGTACTTGTTTATTTTTTTACTGTGATGTAGCTTAAAGTAATATACTTTTGCGCGAAATTCTGCATTCATAAATCTATCTGCTTGCAATGTGATTGTTATTTGCATTGGACTACATGGAAACTGGTCGTCTGTTTGTTGATTTTAGAGTTAAGTTCCTACTCCAAGCTTTAATAACTTAGATGTAAGTGTTATGGTCGACTTTTTTTAGATAAAGATTATCACTTTTAAGAGTAGTCTTTCCTATCCATCAGTTTTCACTTTCAGCTATTTAGACAGCTAAAATCAATAGATATACTTAATTTATTCATAATAATTTACTCCTCAATAAACATAACCATTAAAAACTTAATAAGTTTTATGTCGAGTGAAAATTTAGGTAACACAATACATTAAATGAACTGTGAAGCGTTTGCTTATCTATGTAGATTTGGTAGTAATTTCCGGAAGGTACCTTCTTGTGATCTAGCTAGAAATTATGTATTTTGAAGAGTTGTGTAAACACCATTCTGAGGAATAACTCATTTTAAATCTATGATCTAATCTTCTTCTGATTTGGTTTAGGAGGAAAATGCACCACTCCACAGAGTAATCTAAGAATGATTAACTCAAATGGAAAGACAAATGTATTCTCCCCTGCACATTTATGTGCTTTGTATAAGCTATAATGTCTGCCTATCGGGATAACATACCATGTAACTTATTGATATATTCCCCTCTTAGGTGGGTTTAGGTACGTATATGTGTGACTTTGGAGGCAGTTGGTTAGCTCAATGAAAGTTTTATTCACAAACTTGCAATGTCAGGGGAATCAATGAAATCTCGGAAGGATTAATATACCACTTCAGAATCATTTTGTGAATCTCTAATAGCATCCGTCTGAGATCTAATTTAGGATAGACTGCAGGATTACCATTTCTGTAAGTAAGCATTTTGTCATCAAGTCACTGGATTCGAGTTTATCAGTCCATAGTATACAGTTTACGTTCTTCTACAGTTCTGCGTTTCCACAATATACTTTTATCTGTATGAATAAATCTATATTCATAAATGATACTGTGAATTCATTCCGGCCATTTCGAAGCTTATGTAATGTGCTCTGTTTAGGAGTACATTGGTAAAGACGAAAAGGTGACATTTGTCTGCGCTAAAATTATGCAATATTATGGAGGTTTTTAGATTCTAGAGTTTAATTATGTGAAGATCAAGGATATTTAAGGTCGAGTTATCAAAAGAGGACAAAGTTTCCTGTGCTGAAATATTTTGTCCTCATTCTAAGAAAGGTGAAACTCTTCGATGGACTCACAGGTTGAAATCTCAAAATTATGTTTGACAGTACTTAGCTTTCTTGCAGGATTCTCATTCATATGACTGCATTAAACTATTACTATAACTAACGGCCTCTGGAATCTTCTGAATGTTAGAAGCACATGGTAATAAAACTTACATTATTTTCAAGAATAATTCAGCGGTGAATACTTTGTCCTTAATCAAGATTGAAATGATCTTAAAGTTTGAAAGTTCAGCAGTGTGTGTTTGATCCTTCAGAACTTATTATGAGACTGTCCAGAAAAACACTTTGGCAGTTGGTTTTTATCTGAACTCTTGTTAAATGACAAATACATTGGACAAATGAAAGGTGAGATAAAAAAATATACCCCAATAGGGCAGAATCTTGATTTTGAAAATCAGTCATACTCTTCAAAGTTGTAAAATATTGTTACAGCGTCTTGTGTATATAAATGAGATTAAGTAATCACAACTCATTGTTGACTACCAAAAACATGAACAGAAGTCTGCAGTGGTATATCATTTGTCTTATCGAATTATCCTACATTTGCTATTTTGTAGGAAGTTAGCAACATTTGGATTATGAAAAAACGCGCTTCTTTTCAATACAAAGTTACCTGACTTACAATTGAGTAAAACTAGTCAGTGAAAACAGGTGTACTGAGACTAGTAGAGAACACTGGTGACTGTAGTTCTCATAATCTCCAGCTTTTGAGTGTGGTGGCCACAGGAGCTAATGGTGGTAGCAAAAGTGAGACAGTCAATTAAATCTTGGAGTAAAATAATTTTTTTCTTAAGACAACAGAGATTTTCCTGTTCATGTACAGTGAGAATAAGTTAGCTAGCTGCTATCATTCCTTTGTGATAGTGAAGATTAAAGGGAGAACTTTCAACTGATAAGAGGTATGTAAGGGTTAGTAGGGACATATCTCAACCGAATGAAAGATATTATCATGGCTTTTGGCATAACCTGGGGATTCATACTTACACAACAGAAGTTACGTAATCGGATGCATTCTTTGATAAATCTCACCAAGATATGGTTTCTGCGCGTGTATTCATTCCTCCTATTGGTTCACCACTGAAGTCAGCCAAGTAAAACAAGGATGATTGTTTTCTTATTGGTGTAAGTAACTTGCGGGAAGCACTAATGCAGCTAGATCGATTATGATGTCATTGTTTAACTTCTCATTCGTTTGTCGGTGTTACAACTAGACCATATAGGATGACCTTAGTTACTGAGCCTTGTTCATCGTTTCACCGTCTGAGATAGCCATAGTTTAGCAGACTAGTGTTGATACTGGGTGGTGATTGAAGGTGGAATGAAAATTTGGACTGCTGCCGGATTTGAACCAGTGACCATTGGGTTTCCTGCCTGGTGTTTTGCCAACTGAGTAACGAGGTCCGGCTGCTAACCAGATTTTTATTTCATTTCAATCACCAAGGGTTTTTTCCGACTACCATGTGAATTCATGATGCTTTACTTCTACTTGATTGCATTCACACTGACTGTCCAGTCAGGACTTTTCATTCCAATCCAAATCTGCTTGAATTAGATTGGACAGCCAGTATGAGTATGATAAAGCTGCAGTAATGCTTTACGAGTTCACATAGTATTCTGACAAAACGCTTGGTGATTGAAGCAAAATAAAAGTCTCGTTAGCAGTTGGACCTCCTAGCTCAGTTTATAGAGCATCAGGCCGGTAAATTAGTGGTCGCTGGTTCGAACCTCCTCGGCCAAAACTTTCATTTACCACTCAGTATGACACTTTTTGATACAAAAATTGACATCAATTTAAGCTCTGTACGCAGGTGGTTTGAAATAAAGCTACGACTCGCACGTGTCTGCTGTATGACAATCAGTATAACACATTTAATGAAACTCAGAATTTTGCTTCTACGTTGTATAAATACACTTAGCTGCCTGCGCTCAACGCTGAAGATCAGATGGCCAGAAAGAATAAGCAAAAAAGAACTCACTCTGATTGGTAACGAACCAACCAAGAACCTATCACCCAACAAATATGCAGAAGAAAGTGGAGATGGATTGGACTGGACATATACTGAAAAGACCATTTAGGGACATCACGTGCCAAGCCCTCGTGTGGAACCCGTATGGGAAACGTCGAGGTTGGTGTCCGAGGGTGGCATAGAGGAGATCGTGTGAGGGAAAAATGAAAGCTTCTGGGCAGTTGTGGAGCCAGGTTAAGACGACTAAAGAGAACAGACTGAAATGGCAAAGTGCTACTGAAGCCCTATGCTCCACTAGGAACTCAAAGGTTAAATAATAACGATAATAATAATAATAATATGGAATTGTTCTTATCTTAAGTTAATGTGTCATAAAATATTACTTTGCTTACCCCATGTTGACGCTGGAGAGGAGTATGTTCCTAAAAAAAAGTCACTTTAAGGATTTATTTCAGCAAAGTTGAATAATTTTTAATTCTTATGACCAAAAATTGAACTTCATGTTTTGATACTAAAAAATATCCCATGATTACACGTTGTGTTAATGAAGTTGCGAAATGTTAAACTAATTTGAAATAGTATTAATCATGATAAGAATATAGACCTGCTAGTCACTTTACAAAAATTCTAGAACTCATGAAAATATTCTCAAAAATAACAAATTTGCACAATATTCACTATCTCATGGCGTCAAAATTTGTATCTGAATTCTAATTGGATTTAATTACGCATCTTTATTCCCAATCTTTGTACACATTTTCATTAGTTTTTAGTGTCAAATGTTTTGTGATTTGAAGTTCGGCTGAAACCTGATACTGTATTCATTGAGTATAAGACAGTTTTGAAATATTGGCGAAAACCCATTGGCTTTTATCTGCTACTGATTCATAGTCCATTAGTCTAAGTTAGTGAATTTCATCTAGAAGTCCATAAGTTCAAGTCCCCTCTGTCTATTGAGTTCTGGGGAGCCAGTTTGAAACATTCATTCTGACACAATAAGTGTGACTCATTATCTGATTACTCAGGTTCACGGAATATTATTATTGGTTTACCAACTATTGAATGTTTATAATACTGAGTCTGTATCAGATTTAATATGCTGGAAGATGGTGTCAGTTTGAACATTACAGTTTGTCTGCATAAGTGATTAGGTTGAAGTTCATTAAAAGAGATTTTTGCGCGCATATAAACATTGCAATGATTAAACTATAGTCATGTTCTAACCAACATATGATTAGATCACAATTTAGTGTTTAGAACTTTGGGTAGTACTTACGTGATTTTATCAAACATTGGCCAGTGGATAAAGTGCCATAGTGAGCTTATCAGTGCCCTACATAAAAATCCTACATTTCGGAAAAGCTTGTAAACTGTGAAACTAACGTCGTTTTATCTATGGTGGTTAAATACCTTAATATACACCATCGTTTGTTCTGATCATCGGAATGGCAAAAAATCCACAATGTAATAAATGCAGTGTTTCTTATTCAAATTCATATGTTAGTTTGTGGATAAATGGTAATTATATTCATCATTTAAACTATCACTCTTTTTCCACTTACTAACTGCATTATATCCATTTCACATAATCTACCAACTGTATACATTCACATTTAGCATAATCAGACCGGAAGAAGTGATTTCGCATAAACTAGTCATAGTCGCTATTCACTTCGATAGATGATTATCAGACATGCTTATGGAACGAAATACTACGATGATAACAATAACAACAATACCACCATAAAATATTGTCTAACATAAGAACGAGTGTCTTTATTTTTATTTATATTTTCAGTTTCACAGAATGAAAAATAAGGTTCACGAAATGACTTCTTATTTATCTAATAAAATTTCACTGATTAATCATACTCTTGTCGAGTTTCAGCTATTGATCCAGCTATTTGAATCTATAAAATTGATCCTGATATATTTGAAATCAATAAATTAGAAGACGACGATCCAACAGCCTCTTAATTATACAATATCACTCCTGGGTTCTTCTGCTAGCCACAACCAACCAAATTGTCATAATTAACATCCAGGCAATATCGAGGTATCCGCATAGAAGTCCTTATGCTAATAGAGGTTTAACAATTCGATCCAACAACACAACGGAGAATAACAAATATGTCAATAAATAGTAATAACTGTCACACGTTTTACAGAAAGCGACTATCGTTCCTCAGTGGCATAGTGGATGACGCCTTGGCGTTTGAAGCGATGGGTACGAGGTCCGAGTCTCAATGGGAGCAACATTACTGTGGTGCAGGTACATCCAACTGACGTGCCGTAAATAGGACGAAACGGGCGTCCTGGGTTCTTCTGTTAGCCACAACCAACCTTTTCACAATTCCTGAACTTCATATCAAATATTATATAGACTAGTAAACATTTGATGTACAACTTAAGATTACTGAAATCCTAATTTTAAGTTATATGCGAATAGTCATTGTAATTTTAGACAGCATGGAGTTAAAGAGTATACATGACGTAAAATGATATCATTGTATTCTGCAAATCTAGTCCTTTTAGCTTTGTCTAAATATATCAAGGGGTCCAAATTTATGAAATAAGCATATGTTGAAATTTTACTAGAATATAAAAGGAGTAAGCAATACGTTGGGAACTCTAAATCAAAGACTACACTTTAAGAGTGAAATAATCAGAAATGCACTAAAAAAAACATTCAGACAGACCTTTCAGAATACGACTTATTACTTGCAGAAGTAGGCACTCAATATAAGGAACAGATAAGGTTGAAATATTGAAAACTTACTAAATACTTCTGTACTATTACGAAATGTACCAAATGGCGATTCAACAACGCATGTGTAGTATCCATAATTAGCTGCAGTCAAATTAGCTATAAACAAGGTTGTTCTGATTATCCCATGTTTAGAGTTTGCTTTGTCTAAAAATAAAAACATTTGAACAAGGATCATTTAATCTGCATATAAAAATGTTTGAATTCCTCATACTTGTTTACGGAGAAATAAGTGTTCAAGTAATTTAGGTACAAAAAATGAGTTAATTTGACCTTCCTTATAGAAATTATCACCATACCTCTTCAAAACACTATTTATTAAAGTCATAAGCAAATCATAACTCTCAATAAGTAATTGTTGCCTCAAAGTTTACGTCAGTATGAGACCGGAACTTTGATTGCTTTACACTTTTATTGAGTACATGAGCAGCGAAGTAATTAGAACTAGCCTATCCCATTTTAGGTGATTGTTCACTAGAATCCCTTGTGAATTATTCTTAGTCTAGATAAAGCTTTGTAGAATAGTAGATGCTGAAAGCTTAAGTTCAAAGGTTTGTACCTGTTTTCGCCGAAAAATGAGGGGGTAATAAAATTTATGGTATCCTTTTTTCTGTCAGCTTACTAATCAACCGTTTTTAAATTCATTCAGGAATAAGGAATGATGGAAATAGTAGCTTTAGTTAATTTTCTGGTACCAGTTTTTGGAGCTTTTTATATGGTGGGAGAGTTAATACTTTACTCTTATGGATTCGCCCATATTGCATTTTCTGTTTAATAAACGTGTGAAATAATGGTCACTCAAAGTTATAATTACTGCACTCACTTGTAAGTATAGCACTTCCCTAACTCGTGGATGCTCGAAGTTATTCAGAAGGAAGCCTTAGACCTAGGTTACATGATTATTGGCGCTTATCAACAAAACACAATACATTGTAGTGTGGCGTCATTTAGCTAGGTAGTCACAATGAAAAGTTCGAATGACAGACTTCGTAAAGCACTCAACACTAAGGTCTTAGTCAATTATTTACTGGAGATCAGTTTGTGTACTTTCTAAATTATTAGTGATAAAAAGCCACAATTATAAAGGTTGTCGCTGATTTTTAGCATCAAATATTATTTCCATTTTTTGGGCAAAATTCTTGTTTATTTATCAAAGGAGGAGACCGAAAGACCTAAATTATACAGCTGTTCTGTTTTTTGACTCTTTATCAGAGAATACGAATCATTAGCGAACTAGAAACGAAATTAAAGCATCCTATGTGAATAATGTGCTTTTTTTCAATCATTTGTTGTGTATTAATGCTGGATTATGGCTAGCAGTGGATTCCAGGACGCGCATTTCATCCCATTTTAGACTGGTCACCTGGATGTATCTGCTTGTCAGGAAACGATGGCTTCCCTACTAAGATTGTGAATGATACACGTAACACCATATGATTCTTGTGAGTATTACATAACATGTTGAACTCAATACAGTACGTACATTTTATGCATACAGTGAAATAAACAGTCTTTTTAAGTTGTTACACAATTTTGGTTGGTCAGTGAGTAGATCTGAACTTGGTTTGGGTAATTTTTGGCACTCATCAGAAATCTTGAGAAAGATTCTTTCTCAGAGACTCAAACCGTCATCATTCAATGCTGAGGGTAATGACACTGAATCTCAGCTATTCAGCCGACCACTGTCCTTTTTAGGATCAAATAGTCTTTGTACTTTTTGATTAGTATTTACGCCTATCGATGTAAAGAAATTTGATACAAGGTTTCTAAAAGTATTTACTTATGCATGCTAGAGTGGCATTAGAATTCTTTAATCTGTGAACAGAGAAGTAGATAGGAATAAATAACGCAAAGCGACACTAAGCATACTTATTAAATCACCAGAAACTTCAGATATTTAGGGATTCGAAGTATTTGAGACGTGACTACCAGAACGTATATGATTACGTTATTCTAAATTAACTGATAAATAGTGCTCCAGTCAAAATTACTACTTTCACAAAATGTCAAACAAAAAGTGAATTGAAAATGCGACTACTTTGATTGTAGAGATACCATGAAATGATGTCACCTGGTAATATTTTCTTTCTTCGCACATATTGCTTGTTTGTGTTAGTTAATTGCATCTGAAATTATGTCATGCTAACTACCCATTGGGCTGAAACATCCCTTTCTCTGCCTTGGAGGGAAAATCCTACAATTTTCAGAGATATTCAGCAATATAGTTTGTTCATAGTGCACAACGGACACTGGATTGATTTTCACTTATTCTCTCCGCACAACTTTATAACGGTGTCATCAAGTGGAACTCAGTCAGTTTCTTCAACTATGGACAGTGCAAACAACCACATAAATTTCAATGTATCAATATTACCTAAACCCACAGAGGGCAATAAAACATACTAAAGATACAATTTAGCGATATAATTCGCATTCAAACTAACAAGGCAGTATTTACTCAGATCACAGTAAAACCAGCCAATGTAGACATAAACTATATTTCTCCGTGAACTTTGTATTTTACGAAAATAAAACATGACATTGCCTTTTAGTGCTTTCTGTAAGTATTTTAAAAAAGGACTAATAAATAAAAAATTATGTAAATAAATAAACTGAGGTCACCGTCCTTGTGTTTGTTCAGGTAATTTATGCACCATTCGATTTAAAACAAGCCCTAAATGTGTATATAAAAATATATTTGCCAACAATAGTTGATCAATTCTATACTATTCGCATACAGAGTGGTATCGTGAGTTAGTGGCCTCGTGTTTGAAGCGACTCGTCGTGGTTTCTAGTGTGAGTGTGAACTACACCCACTCGCTGGAAGGCAGGCACTTTCAGCTGGCAAAGCCTAAATATAACGAAACATACTATCTGGATTCTATTGCTAGCCACTATTTATCAGTAATATCAAATATAAAAATACCGGCAATATCGAGGGGTCTGCACAGGAGTCTAAATAGTACTATTAGCCAGTGAATTCGGTTCAAATAAGGCCCGAAATTAACAAGCTGCAACTTTGAAAATATCAGTAGCAAATCTAATAGTTTCTATCGTATTTGAGATAGTAGAGGTCTTTAACTACGGGTGAAGATGGCAGTGAACTGATATTCTATGAGCTTTGTTATTCGATAGTGGAGGTTTCGTCACCAGATATTTAGGTACCGTCAGCAAACACAATGTCATTGCTAAATATCGAAATTCTTAACTAACTGCATACCTGAGCTTCCGACAGCCTTTCCGCTTAGTTAACTATCTACCTATATACATACCTACATCTATGTAAACCTTTTTCGAATCGTTTTAACTTTTGTTTTACTTTCCTAATGGATTTGTTCTATTCTACTTCTCAATAATTAGAATTTCTAGTTTCTTTGCTTCATTAGTATTTATTATGTGATTACTTTTTTGAATAGCAAATTATCTGTTCATTTGTAAATAACCTTTGATCAAATGATCTGCAACTGGATATTGATGAATTATTAAACAGTGTTTGAACATTTTTATCGATATATTAACCAACCTGTGCACATAGATTAATAAGGGGAAGCGAAAGGGAGGCGAGAATGTGAACGATGAAAGTGAATTTTGTCATATGCCAGCGTTGGAATGAACTGATTATTTCAATGATTTTTGATAAATGCCGAATTATGATTGTCCGAATACTGCTAGTTTCAACTTTTAGGGTGTAAATCGATTAAAGTCGACTAAAATCTCATGTATTCAATAGTCACAATAGTTATGGACTGCTTTTTTCATTAGTTACATTATGTCTCTAGATTTAGACATTCGTTATCACAATAAACTTTGTGTGTTATACTGAATCAATATGAAATTTAAAACATGTATTTTCGATGTCATGTAAACGCATATTGATCTTGATGTTTTTTCTTGATTCAAGGTTCAATGTATTCGAGTTTCTTAATATGAAATAGTTAACATAGTAATTAACATTTTAAATCATCGATTGAAGATCTGTATGTTTTTGGAATATCGTTGTTGGCATAAACCATATGTTGAGAGACTGATGGTAATCGGTTAGTTTCACAGTACTTTCTAAAGAAAATAATTTTTTTGAACTTTTACTGAATAATAATATATTTGAGTATTTAAACACCCTTGTCTTGAGTGTTGGAATGCAACTGTCTGTACTTTACTGAAGAGTATGAGTTTCATTATAATTGTACACACCTCTTACTGATCACTGTTGAGGAGCACTGAAAGTAAAAATATGAAAAACCTACTAATGACTAATATTTTGTCTTGCGCTGATCCATTCACTTAAGAAAATACAACACAAACTTAATATAATTTAATTTACGATAGGAATGAGGCCGCAGTATATCTGCAACATTATGTTATCAGTAGTTCCGTTTAGAGTTTGTTAGCCCTGTAATATCTCACAGAATAAACTATTCACCGATACTAACGGAAAAAAGAGCTAAAAATATTGGAACAGATCAGTAGAAAATAAAGTCGAAAGCTTTAAATTAAATTTCAGAACTTACCGATAAGAATGCAATACTTTTCATTTGGCATTGGTATGAGACAGTTACTATTAGGCCCGTGTATTGGCCTTCCTTCGAATTCCCAGTAGAACAAATTGATTGGATTACCAGCAATCACAGCACGCACCATGGTTGTACCCCTAAGTAACTGTCCAAGTTTTAAATTGGCCATTTCAATGGTGGGTGGATCTACAAAGCAATGAGTTTATAACTGGTTAGTGTACTACCGGCTAAACACAGTATGATTTTATGCTTAACACCTGAGTTGGAAATTAGGACCAGTTTAAATCCATTCACCTTGTTAGTTCAGCCGCGTACGGAGTTGATAAGTCAAAGATGTAGGAGTAGAAAACGTCTGTCAAAGTGGGCAGCTGAGGCTCAGATACCTGTCAATTAGAGACCATCTCATGTGAATGAGCTTTCGCTTCAGTAGGTAAGAAACTTGAAAACTGGCCTTTGCTGTGTGATTAAAATTTTAGTTTTGTTACAAACAGTGTCAGAAATACCCAGGGCTCAAAGACACTCAAATATCGACAAGTTAAAAGCTTACAATTGGTGTATGGATGATATTTTTGTCCTGAACAGTGAAACAAAATTAAACTATATTCCGAATGTCTTCAGTCAGACTGATCAATCTATTAGACTTACGCTAGAAGTTGTATCAGAAAGTGAACGTTTCTTTTTGGGTGTTCAGCTGTTGAGAAGAAATGATGGATCACTTAAAAGATCTGTCTATCATAAGCAAGTTAGTATGAACAATTGACTTACTGTAACAAGTTTATTCCTTTACTGGAAAAATGGGTTTGATTACACCTCTAGTCAGAATGTTTTCATAGGATATACACAAAACAAATGTTGGATATTAGTGTGGTTCTTTCGAAAAGTTCTGGTTTAGATTGGCTACCCAAGTTCATGGTTGTATGTGCGTATGGAATGTTAACATTATGTCCGATCCATATTTATGGTATAGAAAAAATATCAGTGCATGTATCTGAAAATATGTGACAATATAGTTGACTAAGCTGTACTGGCTATTTTTTAAGAATCACTTTGAGAAAAATCTTTGCTCCATCTTTGGGTCTTCTTTAAATCACAAATGCCCGACTTTTCAAATTGTTGAAGATAAGATTCGGTTTTCGACAACTTCTGTGTGTGTCTGAATTCGCTTACTGCTGTCGAGCCAAATATTTGAACCATTTCAGCAGAGAATTGTCGAGATGTACTGAAGAACATTTACCAGTATAGCAATCGTAAAGAATGCAGATCGATCGACAAATTTATCCTGGAGCATACTGTTCTCTTACGTCATCCAGTGTCTATGCATAACTACATCAGATACAGTATGAAAAGGAATACATTTTTGAAGATCTCAGTTGTACCTCCTTTTTGCAACGAAAGGTCCTCTTACTCACAAAGAGAATTCTTAAGTATGAATACTGGAACTTACTGTTCTTACCTTTTTTATTCAGTCCTTTAACCTTTGCGTTTTTGCGCAATAAATATAATAAATCCACTTTATAAATCGGATACTTGAATTTAATATTCCCGTTTTCAAGATCCAACTTTGGTAAAGTACATCTGAACTCTATCCGCTACTCAACGTTTATTTATATATTTTTACCATTACATGAGATCATCTTGTTAACTTCAGTAGAGTACTATTACTCGTTTTATTATTTACCATTTAACATATTTTCCTACTAACTGACCACTTTCTTTGACTATTCTGAAGCTTATGTTGAAATTTCTAAATGATTATTATTTAGTGTGGTAATGATGGATGGTGACTAGTAGTGGAGTCCAGGATGTGCATTTCGTTGTTTGGGACTCGTCAGTTAGACGTACCTACCTCCAGTGAGTGATGTTGTTCCCACTGGGATTCGAGTTCTCTTCCAGTCACTGGGAGGCAGGTATATACAGTTGATGAGTTTCCAATAGGACGGAATGAGCATACTGGATTCCATTGCCAGCCACTATTCATCATTACTATACAGAATTAAAACAGGCAATATCGAGGCATCCGCGCAGTAGCCCGTATGTCAACAGTGACTGACCAATTCGGTCCAGTCAACGACGGTTTAATACAAGAAATACTACTGATTGTTATTTAGGCCTACAGTTATAACGGAAAGTGGCAAGAAAGAGCAATCTTCGTTAATCAATGTATTTTCATTTCATGTCATATTTTTATCTACCTTAGTGATCCTATTATTATCGGTCTTGTCGTAACTATCAGAAACTATGTTGATTTTTGCACTTATTAGTCATTAAGCTGACTGAGATTACTGTGTTAACTTGAGCCCTTTACTCTTTTCGTCATCACTACTACACTGAACCTGAAACTTATGTTACTGATTTCTCTTTCTTGCATCATATGCGAGGTACAGTAAGTTAAACAGCGCTTGCATAATTTCACATGTGGCTTTCTATTGTTATGAACATGTACATTAGTAAACAGACGGAGGCTACACATAAAATAAACAGTTTAATCGGTCTTTCACTTTAGTAACTTGGAGATATAATATTTACTTATGAGATAACTTTAGATAGCCTTCGTCTTGAAAACTAATTTTATGATGCTCCTTAGTGAATGAAGTTGACTCAGTGATCCAGGAGTCACTGGTTCAGTCTTGAAGTAATCCGGGTTTTTATTTCACTTTCAGTCATCATTTAATATACATAAAAGTTATTTAATGCAATATCACATTCTCGTACATTTCATTTCAACATCTAAAACAATTTATCGATTGGTCGTTTTAGTCGGTATCTTGAATTGAATACAAATGCATGTTGAATAATTCTCAAGGACACAACATAAGCTATTAGGTATTTACTACCGGTCATAAGCAGCATATTTATCGCCTTCTGGCTTCAAATTTCTGACCTCCCTTCCCGTTTTCTGAGGCATCAAAGTAAACCGGAATACTTTTTACTGAAGTCAGTAGTGATGAGATATTACTAACTTGCAGTTGAATACATAGCAGTGTGTATATTCCACAACATACATCGTAATGCAAAGAATGTATCAGCTGAATGGCCCTTGAGAGTTTATTTTTAGCAGTTAATGTCCTAGTCAAGGAATTCAAAGTAATGTCCTATTAAATTATCAGTGAGAAGACAATTCACTTATTCCACTTATTTCAATTGCTATGCTAATGCCATTTGACACTTTCGATGAAAAATGACTTTGTCATCCTGAAACAGCCACCAGCAAACATAGGTCAAGAATGCGAACTATATGTTCAAAAATATCAACAACTTAGTTTGTGCATCCTCAATCTGCGTATTCGCATTCTATGATGATTGAAATCCTAGTGTCAGCTTGTCATAACGATTGCTGCTGACTCTATGTAAATAGGTTCACATGGACTCCACTGACGAAAACAGGCATATGTATGATATCACTGTTGAATCATAAGAAGTCAAATGTATCATAAAATCTGAAATTTATATTTCGAATGCGTAGGTAATACTTACAACGAACATCAAGGTCGATGACACGCCAGGCATTTTGCTCCAGTCCATTTTGTGCAAGACACTTGTAAGTTCCATGTAGATCTCGAGTAATATTTGAAATTATCAGCTGATTTGGTTTAATTGTAAATCCTATAAATACAATTTGAGAAAATTAGGATTATATTGGGTTGAAAAGTGTCCAAATTTATTTATACTACTCATGAGTAGTCAGATGTTTATTAGTTGTTTCCAGTGTATGATATAATTTAAAGATGAAGTAATTTGGTCTGACAAAGTCCGTAAGTAAACATGGGATTTTGACAGTTCAGCCTATTAATCTGTGTTAGAGTGAACCAATGCTTCTCTGTAGATGACTACTCGTTGTTACTATAAATGAAAAAGTTTGTGGAAAATTTTGAATCTACATATTCACTTAGGTATTAATTATTCAGTAAAATTGTAACTGTCATCATTTTCATTAATTATTAAGGTAAATCGGTTAATTATGCATTTATACACTGGATAAGATAAAATAAGTATTTTTGAAAAGAAACAGATAAACAGTGGCATCCATAAACACACTCCCATTATATCATATGAGAGATGTTATTATATGGGGATACTCATATTTCAACTTATAGAATAAAATAGATGACTTGAAAATGTTTAGCGAATTGATCCGCTGATAAACGTGCTATTTTACGAATCAACTTCGTAGTAGTATGGGGTTTCATGATGAAAAATTGTTGAATCATGATCCCGTAGGTCTCTGGTTCCAATTCTGCCACCACCCACTATGAGTTTTAAGCTGTTTCTCGTACACTTTAAAAAAGCGCTCTTGATTTCTTGACATTTTTGGTAAATAGTGGAATCAAGTAAATTCCTTCCATTCCAGCAGTGCCCTTATTCAATATCAAGAAGCGATCTACATGTATTCATGCAATACACATTAATCTTTTTATTTATGATTCAAAATGAATGAAGAAAGGATAACGTTTTTAGTATGCCTTACTTTTATCCGTTGCTTCATATATTCGATACTGGCGTCCTTCTTTTGGCGTTAAATACCATGTAATAATAGGCTCTGGTACACCCCATGCTTTACACTGTAAAACAACAGCCTCACCTTCATGTGCTATCACTCGTGTAGAACTGGAGCTGTTTTCAGAGATAACTGGAGGTACTTTATAAGAAAAGAAATACAGAAAGCAGACTTTTAGCTGACTTTCATTAAAATATGTATAGTGCAGTTATTTAGAAGACTTATGTTTGCGTATATGATGAACATGATCGGTTTTAGAAGAAATCCGAAATTGTGGTAGGTTTTAAAAAACATTCAAAACCTAGTACTAAACTAAGTTTAATTTTGGATTCGATTATCACAGTCCTGTGTATGAATGTGAATGTATGAAGTACGTATGATGAAGCCTTGCAGAATCTCCAATTACAGGCTAATTTAATTTGTTATTCCCGGTTGAATGGCATTACATTGATCATTGATCGACTGTGACTCATAAACGCTTCATATCGGGCCGAAATCGTCTTCCTAACTTACTCTGTAAGATCCAGAGTCATATTTTTTTAAACATACTGTCATTTACAATCACTGGGTTCCACTTGTCACTTCTGATAAATCACTAATTGAAACTTTCTTTATGCTGTTTCCGGGTTTGTCCTTTGATCACATCTAATAATCGTTTGTGGACTACAGTTATTACAAGCCACCAGAAATTGAGATAATTTCAATTAATAAACGAGAAATCAGTGACTCAGTGTGAAAATACTCCGGATATAAAGGAAATGTACAAAGCTGAATCATACGAACGAGTTCGAGATAAGGAAAAAGCAGCCATAAACCCCTCAGTGCTTTATTTGCCTGTATTGAAGAATAACTTTCTGATAAATGAGGTCGAAACAATCTGATATGTTTATTTGGTTAACAACTGCGTGTGACAAACGAAACAGATTACAATGGTGTCATCTTAGGAAACATTAGTCTTTCGTTGATGATATATGACTATCCTTTTGTATTTTACTATTATCCGGACAAACGTATTTCATCACATTATCGTATAGACTTCGGATCGTTTGAGTAATACATAAATTCCTTGCCTTGATATGCCCTTAGATACCTTCATCAATGACTTTTTTCAGTGCTCTATATTCCCATTTACGTCGGGAATGCTTTGTTGATTGTAGAAAGAGTTATCTTTTTTAATGGATACTTATTGTGCCGTTATCAATGATTTCGATTATTAAAGCGTTGACTTGTTACCATTTCGTGTACTCAACGGCTTGATATATATATTTACATATGTATAACACCAATAAACATTCGATGATAAGGCATTTATATTTTGCTACTTAGGTTCCGTTTCGAGAACAGGTTGGTTAGTCACTGAACTGGGAACTCATTTCACAATCTGAGTGATATGTTTATTTGTACTTGTTTTACTTACCTTATTGTTGTATGAGACACTAATTGCTAATAAAATATTGCAACCTCTGAGATAGAAACTAGAGAAGCTATGTGAGTTATATAACGTGTATTCATCTGTTAACTTCAGGATAGTAGTAATACTAGTTTGTGGAGATCACATAGATATTGTTTTATAGATCCCTAAATTGAGACTTATGTTTCTTGATATCATCTTTCAGATTTAGTATAGTTTACCTAACTTATGTAAAAACAAAAGATTGTTTATCTGTAGTGCCAAATTGCCTCTGGATACAAAAGTTTGTAACCCCGGTCTCGCTTGTGTGGAACTGTACGTTAACTCGCTTCTACTGTGTCCATCCTGTTTCTGCTTCTGCCGAAGACTGGCACTAATAGATTTTCTTTCGGAAAACTCTTACATGAAACTCATCTCCTATTTCAAAACGTATTAATGCTCTATTTTCTACGACATTACTTTTTAAATTTCATCGTCATCACATCTTTCACTCTTTCAAATCGTGTTTTGGGGTCAAATTTTTAGTAAACTGTACTTGGTAAAACTGTAATCAAATAACTTTATTTTTGAATTTATTCACAGTTCTTTTGATTAAGTTACTATTTTCGCAAATGTTTTTGCTGCCTTTTTATTTACTGTCTGTGGTCACAGATAAAAGAGACCTAGTTTTTTGTGATGATTGTTCTGGTTCAACCGGAAGGTTTCCTCAATAGACATTGATAAAAATCAAGAATATCATGTAAATGTATGAATATAGCATTCGCTTCTTGATTATGAGAAGTGATCTGGTCAGTAAGAGAAATAGGAATATGATAACAGAAGGTTTAAGAATGGATAAGTTAGTCTCAACAAAAATCACTTGTGTTTTCATTGTTACATTGGAGTGATTTCCATTTTATTCACGAATTTGACATGACTAAAAGTCAGAAGAAGTTCTAGATGGATTGACTGAATTGCACAAGATTTGTAGCAGATTTGATCAATGGAGTTTATTTTGTGCGGGTTACGTTCGCATACCAGAAAACATCATTGGAGTGAGGTTCAAATAATTAGCGACTTCTACTTTCATAAATAAGTGCTTCAGTAGAACGTACTAACCACAGTGGTCACTATCCCATTGGTATTAACTATTTTTTACTATGAGACAGTTAGTTTGCCTATTCACTACTCATTTAACCAGTCAAAAGACTGAATCTTTAAGACAACAAAATGTCGTTTGTGCTAAACGTTTTGGACTTTTTTTCAGTTACTTTGAATCCCATAGACGACATATCTTTGGTGCATTTCAGTTAAACTAATGTAATTTGTAGATTATGTGTCTTTGGATAATTAGCTGAAGTTAGCTCCGACGAAACGGGAAATCTGAATAACATCTCTTTGCAGTAAAGTAGGGGTTCACCTTTTTGAAGTTTACTGTAAGACTTTCTTCTTGTTCCAGAATAAAAGCCATGTGAGTAAACTAACTACACACAAGGAAGTATATCTGCCAAGATTTTTTTATTTGGATTGTTGTTTTACATGCGGAGTGATAAGTCGGTAAAAAGTTCATTTTTTAAGCCGAAGATTATAAATTCTCAAAAATGTTCATTAATCTTATCGATATGTTTACACATTAAAAGTTATACTTCATAATAAATTAAGTGAGAAATCTTTTAAATATTATTTTTACTTACTATGATTTGTTTATCACGTTAAGTTAGAATTACCATTATTATTATTATCATTATTATTATTATCTAAACCTACCAAGTATACTAAGGTAAACACGCTGTTTATAAACTGTTTGACCATTTGAATAGAGACATACATATTCCCCTTCATCTGTTCTCTGTACACGATCAATTCGAAGATCCAGTATAGTCTGATCAAATGATGACATATCAAGTATGTATCGAGTATCTGGATGAAGTCGTCGATTATTATGAATTAGATAATCATTGGTTTTAGTTCGTTTCCATAACAACTGTAAAAAATTGGACAAGGAAATTATCTTCACTTCATTTGCAGTATAATGTCACAGCAAAAGCAAGAATGTACTATCCAACAAGGAAGTCTTTTGGATGGGTTATATTAAGAATAATTTAATGATACCGAACTTAGGCGTATCTGAGCCAACGGTGTTTATATTCTAAGACCAACAATCGGTGTTCCCGTAAGTTTTTAAGACAAGTTCACATCAAATTAAACAATGTATGGACACTAGTGTTCACAGCCAGAATGTACTATTTAGGCAACTATAAAAATAGTTTGTATCCATAAACCTAACCTTGTCAGCAATGGTTCACAGGCTTCACATCTATAAAAGATATGTAGATGATACCTTTATTATATGTAAAAAGAATAGTAACCTGGAAAACCTGCTTCACTTTTTCCGTTGTGGTTATACTTTTATTAGTAGGAACGAAGTTGAAGTTCCACTTCCTTGATGTGTGGATCAGAAGAAAAGATGACAGTTCAATGAAGAAATCTACTTAGAGATGGTAGTTTAATTATTTTAATAGTAATGTTTCTTTGTATACAAGGAAGAATCTTATCACCTTGCTTTTCTCAAGAATTATGAAGATACTCATGATGGATGCCGTTGATGACGAAATAACAAAAGAACCTGCTATAAATCCTGACGAAAAATTGATATTCATTGAAGGAATTAAAAGCCAAAATGTGTCACGGAATGTATCCACCTTATTCCTATGGAGACATTACTACTGAACTTACAACGCAAAGGTGGCAGTACAGTGGATATCTTTTGAAAAGGAATATCAAAATTCATAAGTACATAATTAACTTTGCCAACCTTTGAATCATATTCTCTCATCACTAAGTCATTTGGAAATACTATCTGATCTGGGTGACAAAGAAGAAGTGGAAGCATATCTTCCGTTTCGTAACAGAGCACTTTATAAGATCACTATACTATGCTTTTCGATGTTTTTCGAAAGTTGTGTTAAAAAAGTAGAGATAAGACGTCTTCATATATTTAACGCACTAGAAATTCCTAAGTTCATATAAGGATTATGAGTTCAAACGAAGTAAGTACAACCTATTTCTTTGCCATTACCATCGTAAAAACTATTTACTATAGATTGTTCTCTTATGATCTAATTATATTTCCCTTTATACGCATACATGCATATAAAGTTACTTTCTCTTTTTTGAATGAAATGTATTTTAACATTTTCTATCTTCCTTACTAATGTACAACTAACAGAATGATCTCACGGGACAGAAAATGGTTTGTCTCGGTGACAAAGTATGATCTCTTTTATTAAAGTTAAGCTTAGTTTTATTTCTTTTTTAATTCTGATTGGTTTATGAGAAAACACAACTAATTTGAAGAAAACTTTGTTGACAAATTTATGTCAACCAGGGAACATTTAAAAACCAATGAGTATGATACCACATTTTCTCACTAGTTTGCACAAAACACACTGTTGGTGTCACTTTTAGTGTACTACCACTCTGTTACTTAGTAAGAGTTGAGTGATCGACGTTCTAGACGTGATCTATTTATTTCATAGGGGAACACAAATACCAAGCAACAAATTCTGTGCAAAATCCTATGACTGCTGATTTAAATCTACATATATCGTAGGTTACTCTTAATAGGCAATCAAAATTGGCGCCTAGGTAGAGGTCTCTTCTATTCGAGATATTATAGACAATGAAGATAATGACTTTTCTGAGTACCAAAAAGAGAACAGTGTGTCACTGTTTGCTTTAAACTATTTTCTGTTATTTCTAGTACTGCCAATTCAACATTTTTTCTCATTTCTTTGGAAAATAGTTATAGGTGTGTAAAAGCTTTATCACATTATTTTTTAGTCTTATTCTTCACTTCTGATAAGTGTCCTTCAAGAATAATTATATTTACTTTATTTTCATGGTGAAAATGTTTCTAATCTAAATAAGAAATTACTGAATTGTGTTCGTAGTAGGTGGCAGTAAAAGGAAGGGATAATAAACAATGATGATAGTAACTATTACAACAATAACTCATTTTTGAGTAAATTAGGTTTTCTTATACTTACTTGTGTAAAATAAGTGAGGATAAAATGTATAGCATATATTTATATGCCAAAAAATTCATGTAAGGGGAGATATTATATTTCTATCTTCGCTGTTCTAATTTCCAGGATGTTGAATGTGAACTTCTATATGAATTTCTTCGTTTACGGATAAGATTAGTAGTTTCGTTTCATATTTATTCTTCAAACGTTATGTAGGACAAGCCGTTGTGCCTAAATGAAAGGACATATATTGTGCAACACAGCGCATGTTTCTTACAAGTGTTCTGAAGCTGACTCTACTGTCTGGTAGGAAGATGTCAATAAAGATAGAGGATTCTGCCGATGATTTGCACTGGACTTTCATAACCTCATCATTAAAATTCATCTAAAAAGTAGCATAACCTGCTAGATGCCAGACGTTTTTTTTTGCAGTTGAATGTATGATGCTATACATTGGAAATCTTACTAGAGGACGCCATATGTTGTGAATAGAAAAACAGTGTGCACCATGGTGTAAGATGCTGACTGGGTAAATTTTGTTTGAAAGACCGTTAAGAATGCGTTTTAATTATCACCTGTGAACGATGAAAAAGGTGAAAAACTGCTTATCTGGGCCGAATATACCCGGCTGAAGCCGAAAAGTGGCTGAAAACTTCCAGCCGACGTGACGCTGAACAACTTACAATAATGTGGATGTTTGCATGGTGATATGTTTAAAATTCTACTACCGTGCTGTAGGGAAACTTGATGAGTTTACGTTACAGATATCTGGATGTTGTTACGTCATCTTTAATCTACCGGAACCTACTTCTCGTCCCCTTCACTAGCAATTTGTATCCATGAGGAAAGGCAACAAATAGTAATAACAATGAGTGACCTTAGTTTCCCAAGCCATATTCATCACATGTGCACATACTATCGATATGATAGAACACATAGTTCAAAATGACGATTTGTTCCCAGATGCCTTCGAAAGGCGTAAGATCAGAGAACTCATTAACCATCTAAAGACTAAACAGTGACTGGCCAGTAAACTGTGGATAAATAGCCATATATGAAAATCTGAAGACAGCCAACATATCAGTAACACATTCTCTGACAACATACTGAACCTAAGTATTTCGTACTCCGCTTTGAAAAACAGTCAACCGGGAGCCTTTTAAAATTTGTGTTCAAGGTAGGATTTGAACATCTTATTCTCCACAAGAATATAGTCAAATGGGATGCCTGGTGCTTTCTTATTCTTCCCATATTCGAAATGTTAATAATGTTTTGTGGGTTTTCATGTTCGGTCTAGCCAAACTTTTGTTAAATGACGATAGTTTCTTTATTTGGTTTCTTCTGGTTCATGGCTCATTTAGTCTTGATGTATGTTATTATTAGTCATAAATGTGCATCAGGCTTTTAGTGCTATACTAAACATGCCTTAGATATTCTAAATCTGCTATTGACCGAATAAGGGTAACTAAATACGAAATCTTTATCTCGAGCAGGAAGCCATCCTCACTAGTACATGAGTTTATTGAATATATTGTCTAACTCGTTAACAATAATAAAAAATGATTTTGTTTAGGTAGTGAAAAAACGTAGTTTATTTGAAACTTGTTATGCATCTGTATCAAACACGGCTATTCGTAATAAACATATGTTACAAATTTGATCATGAGTAAACTAGCCAAAATCGAAAGTTATATGGGTGAATAAGTTGACCAAATAATAAATGAAAATCAAAGGAAATATGTAAATAATGCTGAATGTTTATGCTGTTTGTTAATGTTTAGTTCATCAACAGAAAACTTTGATGAGTGACTAGACAAGATACTAATTTTACTTCAAAAGTAACTACTGATAGGCTTAGTACCTTCATAACGTCCATGCTAAAATAAAAATATGGATGTTGTTCGTGCTGATTCCCTTTTTGCTGGTGTCTTTTTCAATAATGTGGGAGTTCCCAATAGGAAACCAGGAGAACAAAAATCCACGCGAAGAAATATTTCTTATCAGTTAGCTCTTTATTAGTGGCTCTATCCTATAACACAATCTCTTCAAAATTCGAAATAACAAAGCAATCTAGTGGTTAGTTGATTTGTAAGAGGTTATCAATCTCAAAGTATTATTAAGGAAAGTGTGTTAGCCTATCAAAAAAATTAACAAAACAGTTAATGAACAGAACAACTACTACTGGGTGATGATTGATGTTGGAATGAAAAACTAGACTGCGGTCGCATTTAAAACAGCTCTAAAAATTGAGCTACGAGGTCCAACTGCTGACCAGATTTTTATTTTACTTCAACCACCAATGGTTTTGCCCAGCCACCAAGTGAATTCATCACGCATTACTACCACTTGATCGTATTCACACTATCTGTTCAGTCAGGACTTCTCATCACCAATCCGAATCTAACTGAATCAGGGAGGGGAATAGAGCACCAGGCCGGAAACCCGATGGTTTCTGGTTCGAATCCGGCCATAGTCCAAGTTTTCATTTAACCTTCACTCATCACCAAGTAACAGTCATAGTCTGCCAAACCACGGCTACCTCAGATGATCAAAAATGATACAGAGTATTTGCTTCATAAAACCAGGAAAAGTAGGCATGGTCATCAAGTAAATGTTACTTAGTATGGTGTCAAGTAACAATATGACAAAGAGAAATGAATAAGTAGCTAAATATGCAACGCTGATACCAATTATGGCATTAATTTGTGGGATGAATCAGAAGGAGGGTCATTTTTGCATCGATAAGCTCTATAGATGTTAGGCGCAAACAAAGCAGGTCACATAAATTCTCTCTAAACACAGATGTGGCTTGCTTAAGTGGATTCCATTGACTTCTGGCACCTTTTGTAGACGAACTCATGAAGCATGAACAAGATTCGAAGAAATATGATTCATGACTTTAAAGGGATTATTAATACTCCCTCAGAACTCACTGTCAACCAGATGCCGGTGGGTAAAGCAACCTATAGATATTATTCGTCACTTAAGTAGGATATATGATATTCCGAAATTCAACGATGGATTTTTCTAACCGTACCATCAATGTAACCGACTGGATAAAAGCAGTTGAACTAGAACATGCATATAGAGTTTGCATGAAGTGAAGTAATTTTTGATTCACAAAATTAGTGTCGACCCACTATGGAATACACGGCATAAATTTGTTATATTGAATGGTATTTTTACAGCATTCCTTTAATACGGCATCACAGTTTCGATTATAATATCAGCCCGAGTTTGTAGCTTTGGGAACAAGGATTTTTCAGAAGCTGCTGGTGCGATGATTATTTAGTTGGTTGAGAACTTCACCGAATACTCGTCGTTGCTGAGTGGATCTCGGACAACCTTAAGCTCCTCATTGTTAGTATTATTTGAACAGATAACTCTTACTGCCTGAGGTAAACATTTTACTTTTTGTGCTGCAACAGCGCTATGGTCAGGAAATGATGCCGGTTTCCAACATATATCTGTTTTTGTTTTTTTCATCCACTCACCTTGTCACTGAGAAGGAATGCTGTCGTTTTGTCTCGATGTTTTGAAGTGATTGCTACATGTATGCCGTTTAAATTATCCATTATAACCTTTATTTTACTCTCTTTCTCTAGAATTAGGAATGTATTGTAAAAGTGATGACAATAAAATTCTAACTGCCTATGCCATCCAAAAGACATTCTCTAATTCCACTGGTAAAACATTCATCATGACTGAACCAATTAATGATCTCATGGAAGAATTGTCTGACTGTTGATAAAACTTGTTGAGAAGGATGAACAAATTCATTGGCTATTCTATTAGTTGTTTCAAGACAAATTTCTGATTTTTATATCCCTGTACAAATTAAATAGCTTGATTATATCAGGGGCGAATTCGTGAACGGTCTGACAGGTATCCTTAACCCTAGGCTTTACAACTTCCTTGTACAGTAATTGCAAGAGTTGTACTAGCTGTTTAACGGTCAAATGACAGGTGAAATTTGGTCGAACGAGAACAACTGGCAGTAATAAATCATTCCTACATTCTTCCGGTAAACCAAGCAGCCTTATAGTTACTGTTCCCATATTTTGAGTATTTCTTATACACTTTATTCAATGAAGCCTTGCTGCTTCAATGCTTTCGATGACTTGACTTATAGTCTCTCAGTTTCTTCTAATATATCAATCAATATTATTAGATGATTTCTGAAATTTACCAAGGTCTATAGCTATCCTAGCATTCGACTTTATTCATAGTAACAACTAGGTCTTCATTTCGCTCAGTAACCGGGAGATTTGGATTAATTCTAAGTTTGCATAAGGTTTCTCTGTGTCTTTTGGTAAAGATGCTGTTGGCATTTTGCTTATTATTTATATATTTTCTCTAGCAGTAGATCAGAGTAAACTTGAATCTTTCGACCTCTTCACCTGTTAAAAGTAATGTCTTCTGTCTGCATGTTGAGGTTTTGAAGCTGAGCTTGTTCAGTCATTCAATTTTCTCTGAGAGGACTATCACATAACTTAGAAACCAAAGACACTGCTTCTAAATTTACCAGTGGCAAGGTCAGAGTTACAAAAATTAGGAACACACTAGTCAGGATTTGGAGGAAATCCCATTTCTCATGTTACTGAGGATATACAGGCTATATATGAAGTGAATCCATGTCTTACGTTCTTTCGCTGACTGGCTGATTCGTCAAAAAATGGTTATTTCAGCTGATCGAGGAGACTCCAATCTTTCTGCCGCACCTTCTATTTACTGAGCCTCAAGTGAGCTACATGTGATTTTGGAGAGTAAATCTATTTCAGTGCATTAACCTCAAGCGTCCTTTCGTTTCATTAAACTTCATTAAGATGTATGAACTTAAAGCAAACTTTATGGTGCCAGTTTGTTTCTATGCACAAAATCCATCTACGCCGTCGGTTCATTGAGATTCACTCTGCTTTTCATTAGCTCGTTGAAGATACTTAAAACGATTTAGCATTCATGAGGTAGAATCTTCATTTAGACGTTGATTGAAGACAAATAACAACTTCTAGTTATATTTGTCATAAAAGTTTCCAGTTACCCACTTCCACCTTCTGACCGTAAAATTGTTTCCACACATACACTGGGAATGACGAACTCCTATGAAACGTCAGCATTTAGATGACTGTAACCAAGGACAACCGTCATTAAGATGACTATTACATGAAGTCTGACGGACGGTATGGAGTCCACTTTGCATTTTATACAGGACTAAGTATGCCTGTGTTAATGATATTAGCATAAATCAACAAAATGTCTAGAGTGTCAGCAAAACGACTATCTTTATATATATATATATATATATATATATATATATATATATATATATATCAAATACGGAGGGTGAAATTTAATTCTGAATGACAGAACTTACAGTTCCCTTTGTATTATCATCTATGCCATTTTCAGTTAATAATTTCTTATCTGGGCGACATGGTAATAATGCAGTATTATTTAGTACAGCTTTCATTTTTATAATATCATTTTTGTCTGATTCGATTAAATCACTCCGTCTATAGAACGATTTTGATTCTGGAAATCTCTGACGTCTCTTTTTATTCGGCCATTTCACTTTGGTGGACTCACTAGTGTTCAAAGTAGCATTTACATGATGATTCAGTTGCAGATTTGCTGAAAAGGAAAATATGTGTTACTGAGTAATGTATACATGAACGTTTATATCATACATCTGTCTGAAAATCTAATTTGTGAATCAGTTGGTCCCGGTTCAGTGGCTTCGTAGTGCTACCCGTGGAACATGAAGGTCCTGAGTTCGGACCCCGGGAGAGGTCAGGGGTGCACATTGACAAGGGGTTCCATACAAGAAAAAAAGACCTGTCCAGTGCTCCCAGCTTTTCAGTAGTTCTTCAGCTGGTGTCATTCTGAGATGACTAATACCTTCAAATGGTTTTCACTTTCAAATTATAAGTTAAAAACCCAAATTTTTTCATTTGGCAAAACTATAAAAAAGTAACAGATCTGTTTCATCTATTTCTGATAATGATTCCATCTTCTGCTGATGTTTCTTATTTCAAGTGTTTGTCTAACTGGTTTAGTTTTTTACTTTAAAAGTATATGTAAACTTAACTAAAAACTGTATTAAGTCAAGGAAAATTTGGGAACCATTAGTCAGTTATACTTTGAGACGTTAGTCCGATTAAACGACTGAGTTTGAAAACTTACTAGTTAGGAATATGCTTTATAGTTCTTTTTGTAGATCAGAACATTCATTACAAATATTGTGAAATCGAAATTAAATCAAATAAACTTGTCATTTAATTTTCAAGCTGATAACATGACCAATGTATCCAGTTGAAGAAATGATGGAAGGATATTTTTTATTCTAGAGGTTTCCCTCATCTTCTGATGATCTAAAACATTTCGACAGCCAGTCGGGAAAAAATATTTACATGTTGTTATTGAAGTCACTAGAAAGCATTGATTGCAAAAGTGATCTGTTGACGCAACATTACCGAGTCGTGAGAAATTGGAGTCAGAAGAGCCATTAAAAGGTGATCTACCTAGAAGGGACGAGGTAATTCTGGCAAGAAAATTCTTTTTTTTAGACAATTTAACTTACAAAATCTACACAATCGTGGTTAAATTTATCTAAAAAGTATGACGACCTGTAATCGGACAATGAAACAGAGTTTTGTGATTAAAGTACAGTCTAAGATTATGATAAAAAGTCGTCTCTACAGACGGAAAGAAATTTTGCAGTAATATGTAAGATGATAAATTTAATGTGAAGAGTTTGGGATATGATAAGGTGGAAATTATTATTAGATGCAAAATAAGAGAGTCGGTTGTATATTTATCGGAAAAAAAATAAGGTAAGTTTGGAAAAATGATCTTGTCGATGGTGATTATAGTGATCTGTTTTGTTTTAATGAAGGTAGAAAACTCGCGGTTGGTTTAAGATCATGGAAACGCAATAGACTGAACACAACGCTTATTTATACAGAAATCAGGTTTAGAATGTTGGTCAGACTGTGTGTTTTCTAACTCATACCTTTCATTAATAACAAAAGTGTTGTCTACTTACTAGATCCGAATTTTTGGTTTGGTCACGGTTAATATGATGGTTTCCAGTCTCCGTATTACCACCTTTGCTACTAACTCAGATATCAGAGCTCACATTAGTTTCTTTCATCTGTTTATATATCCTACCAATAAACTGGAAGTGTATTATCAGACGAAGATCAGTGAGTCCCATTAAACTTGAATTCCCGAATTTTCGTGTGTCCTGAAAGCCTTGTGTTATCGGTGATAAGGAGAAACATATTTTCCCTAAACAGTTGTGGTTAACTAATGTTTATAATGTTGTGACGTTGAAAGATACCATTAATTTGTCGTTGTTTGTGTTAATGCCATGGATCCTTTCCTGTTGTTCTGTCGGTGATTTGATGTAATGTTCGTATGTCTCTGAGACGCATTTCAGTTTTCGTGAAAACTGTTTAGATAAATTATAGTCTTAGGTACCAGGAGGTGAAACTAGTCTTTGTAAAGGAATGGTCAGTTTATGTAGACTTCGTCTACCGTAAAGCCAAGGACGATTTCATTTATCTTATTTCTCCTGCGCTGACGAGCTGGTTTAAAGTTTCGGTTATTTAGTTGGTTAGATAGGGTTGGTCTCCAGTGGTTGATACACATTCTTGTTCTTTAGTAAGTCCGATACCTTCTTGATTTAGTTTTCCTTGTCCATGACTACATTAGCGTGTCCTTTGTCTGATAGGAGCATAACGATATCTTTCTCATTATTCAGTCTTCTCAATGATTTCTTTTTGTTAGTGCTCGGCTGAGTATAATTTATTTTATGCCTGGTCATAAGTAAAATTGACTGACGTATTTCGCGTTGACTGTTTTCATTTGATACTGATGTTTTAAATGACTATTCTTACACAGCAAAGAATTCTGGTTTTCAGGCACCCCATGTCAGTTTTTGAAACATTACTATCTTGTACAGAGGAAACACAAAGAATATCAGAAAATTTTCAGAAGCTTGACTTCCAAGTAAGTTAGCAGTCAGTAGAAGTATGGACATAGACCGAATCTATCAGCCAATGAGAAAAACGATGCGCAACTGCAAGGTCGGAGGTTAGGTGGAGCAACGACCAATAAGAAAACTTATCCAGCCAATGATACAACAATCAAATGAAACTGCTAATTACAAACCAATTCGTCAGGACAAGCTACCGAATCACTCACAAAGAAATCTAGATAGGTCGCTTTATATAAAATTTAGTGCTGAGGACTTTGTCTAGAAAGGCAAAGAAGCTTCAAGAATAAACCACTAAGCTCATAGAAAGCAACACATACAAGATAGGGTGGTTAGTTTCAGGCGTCAAAAATAAAATTGCAACCTTATGGAAGAACTGGTAGTTGATTTTTTCCGAATACATTAATTTAGTTTTAAATGTTTGACATAGATTACTTTTAGGAGACGCAGTAAATTTGCATCCAGCCGGTTGAAATCTACTCTAAGTGATATCAAAATGACTAAATTATGTGTGAAATGCTAAAGGCGACGTGTAGTTCCATTACTGAGAAGTATGGACCTCTGAGTTTAAATTTCTTTGGAACTTGCTATAAAATGCGATCTAGAATAGTTTCCTCTATTATTTCAAGGTTTGTAGCTTGGTACGAAACTTGTGGATAAGTAGATACATTCGAAGGTAATATCAAAGGTCAACTTGTGTACCTTCAGTGATTCTAGGGAGTATTTATTTTGACCCAAGGAAACAATTTCTGCAGATGAAAATACTGGTTACAGTGCAGCACTTAGTTATTCTGTTTTTGATCAGTTTCGTCACTTTTGAAATTTGATTTGCAAAATGGTAGGATTGTTTTTAGCTTCATCTAACCTTACTTTTTCAGCATATACTGTCTTACTTTTGATGAGCAGGTGAGAGTAGTGGTTGTCACAGGAGTAATTTTTCAGTAGGCAGAGGTTCTTCTTCAAGGTTATCATCTCATGGGCTTTGGTATTCTATAGGAAGGCTAATATACCAACTTTCTCTTATGAACTGTCAAAAAAATCTGTTCTAATTTTGGCAGATTTCATTCCATGCATTATTTTAAAAAGCCGATTATAGTGTCTTTCCATCTCCAATGTGTTGATTACCAAGATCTGGAAGTACGAAATTCTCTTTTGCTCTTTTCTGACTTAAAAACTTTGTATTAGGATGAGTTTTCCTGAGAAATTTTAGTATATTGCTGACATGTTTGAGGTCATTACAGATAAAGACTGCGTCACAAACACCTTGGGTGTAGAATGCTGTCTCTTCTAATGAACCCTTCAACCTGTTCACGTTTTCGAATAACATTTTCTTGTCAAATCCATACAGAATGTAAGCATGTCTTCTTTTGCATACACTCCGCTTGTTTCAAGCCTTAAGTGGTTCCTCTCATTGTGCTAAAACTGTTTTTTGGCTTTGTCCAAACTTATAAGGTGAATTGATTGTATGAAAACACCAATAACTGCTATTAATGTTTAAGTATTAAACGTTTTAAGAATGCATAGTGATAAATTTATCTGACAAATAATTAGTTACTAAAACCTTTGTCTACGTCTAATTTTCCCGGTAATATCTGGATAGATTAAGGTCAAGTAATTCCAGTTCCTTGTTTGAAATATCAGTGAGTTCAGATTTAATTCCATATTAGATTTGTTCATTTGATTTATAACACACAGTGATCTAGTATTATTTACTTGATGACATTTGGAGCATAAATTTTCACTCATAATCATATCAGTGTAATCATACTACTTTCGACATTTGATTTTTATAGTTATGTCACCTCATATAAGTTGTTTTTATTCGTAGTAAAATGCTCTATATTTTGGTATAGGTGTTGCGTTATTTTTATTACATGTGTTGGGTGTTGATTCGATGAACAAAGATTCAGTAATCAATCTCTCTCCAAAGTAAAAATGGATATTGGCTAGCAGTGGGATCCAAGATGCGCATTTCGTCCTATTTGGGACTCGTAAGCTGGATGTACCTGCCTTTCAGTGAGTGATGTGGTTCCCACCGGGATCCGAACTCGGGAGCAATGTCACTCACTTAAAAGCAGGTACATCCGGCTGACGAGTCACGAATAGTACGAAATGCGCATCCTCGACTCCATTGCTAGCCGCTGTCCATGTTTACTATAACTATAACTACACAGGTATATCGAGACATCCGCACAGGAGCTCGTATACCAATAGAAACCGATCATTTCGGTCCAGTCAATGACGGTATAGTACAAGCAATAACATTAATCTCTCTCTCCACCTATTTATATTGGACTTAAGTACAGTGGCTTTGTCCTACCCTATTGTGTGATTGTGTGTTAATGTATGCAATGCAACAGCCGAGTTTTTCCAGATTGTTGATCTTATTCTGGTCTGTCTTTTTGTATTTAGCTAAATTCCTATGTTCAGCTATTCTAACTGACCCCGACCGGCTAGTTTGACTTATGCACTTGACCTCACAGTTCAGATTTATTTCTTACCAAATTTCAGTAAGTCCATGTTATCAATTAACAAATTAGCTTGAAAGATTAGCTCACAACATGTAGGCTGAGTAAAAATTATTTTGACGAAACAAACCTAAATTACTGAGACTGAACACATTTTAGCAGTG